CTTGAGCTCGCTTCCCAGGACATTGGTCGCGGTGGCTTGGGGGCCCGAGTCTGGACTCAGGTTCTCCTAGTTGAGTTTTAACTGGCTGGGCGGCCTTGGGCCTTTGGCTGTGGCTCCGTTTCCCCAGGTAGAAGGGATACTTTTGACTTCTAGTTCAGACCAAGCCCAAAACTCCCTGTCACCGAGTCCACTCCTAGCGACCCTACAGGACAAGATGGAACTGCCCCGAGGCTTTCTGAGACGGTAACTCTTCGCAGGAGTAGAAAGCCGCAGCTTTCTCCGCAGGCGGCCGGTGGTTTCCAACAACGAACCTCGAAGCCAGCAGCCCAGCATGAAACCCACTACCCACACATCCCCTGGACAATGCGGTTTGTCCTGGGGTGGGGGCCATAGGCTTTGGGGGAAAGAGCACCTTAGTCCCGTGCCCAGGACGCTCGCGGGTCTCGGTGCACCCTGCTGTGGGGCCTTGCCTCTGGACAGGCATAGCCTGGCTTCCAAACCAAGAAACAAATTCACTGGCATCGAGTCGATGCCGACTCAGGCTACGCTAGAGTAGAACGGCCACTTTGGGTTTCTGAGAATGTAACTCTATACTGGGGTAGAAATACCGGAGGAGAAAGCCCGCCTTTCTCCCCGTGGATGGTTTTGAACTGCTGACTTTGCAGTTAGCAGCACAACATTTGTAACCACGACGCCACCAGGCTCCTGGTGGAAGGCTTTCTTCCTGCAGTCTTTTATTGAAGGCAGAACACAGGTTCTCCCTGCTACTTGGTGGACTCTGCAGGAAGGACAAGTGGGGTGTATGTGGCAGGGTATATTCTTAGTGTTGCTGTGCAAATAAAAATCCCAACAGTAAGAGGTCACGTGACTCTCCTATGGTTTCTCCAGTGGGCACTATGGTGTTAAGAGGCATGGTCAGGCTGGATCACTTGCCTAGGCTGAGCCGGCTCCATCCAGCTCTCTCCACTTGCCTCTCCCTGGGAGGGAAGAATCAGAGCTCAGAAAGGCTGAGCTGATTGCCCAAGGTCACAGGAAAGGAGAGCCCAGGTCAGAGGCTGCCAGGAGGGTGCAGGGACAGGCCTCTGGAGGGGGTGGTGAGGAGTGGCAACCTTGGAAAGGCTTCCAGGAGCTGGCGTTTTGGGCTAGGCTTTGAGCAGGTTGTAGAAAGTGAAGCAGGCATGGAAGCAGAGGGGTCCCCAGGTGTGTGTATGGGAGGTGGGGGGTGGCAGTGCACAGCAGGTGTGGAGGCCTCCTGGTGGTGGGAGTTGGTGTGTGAGCCAGTGTTTCTGTGGAGGGGATGAGGAGGGAGCAGGGGAAGGGATGAGGCACAAGTGGTGGCCAGCTGGGAAGACCCAAGTGCCAGGGTGGAGAGCTGACAGTGGGAGGTATCTGGGATTCCAGAGTTGTAGCTTCCCAGCAGGGATTCTATCAGGCTGCAGCCTGTCAGGAGGCACGTTGGGGTCAGGGGTCAGTCAATTGCCTGCACATCACCTCTCCAAAGTGGGTCAGGGGGACCTTGTGCCTGGACACACTGATAACCACTGCGTAACAACAGTGGAACAAGCTACAGGCCCTCCATCCTGCAGGGGCTGTGAATCTCTTGCAGACAGGTTAACTGGTGGGTGCCCTGCCTGCCTACAAGGCGAGAAAACTGCCCCCAGCAGGTGACAGAGTGGGGGTGGGGGAGTGTTTGATGCTGGATGCTGTACCCCACCACCTCCCACCCTCCAGGTGGGAGGGACAGGCATCCCGCAGAACCTGCTAAGGGCGTGTCTGAGGGCCAGGAGGAGGTGAGCCAGGAAGGAAGGTCTATGGTAAGGTGACCAGACGCCCCACTTTTTGCTGGACAGTCCCGATTTTTAACAATTATTCCCGCATCCCGCAGCGTTTTTAAAAAGCCCCGATTTTTGGAAAGAATGCACGACAAGCTAGGGTATACGGTTTTCAGCTGGCATGTGGCTATTTTGCCAGGATATGAGTTTTATCAATGGTGTCCCGCTTTATCAATGTTAAAATCTGGTCACCTTAGTCTATGGATACACTTCAAGTGTTAAAAAGCAAAGACGTCACTTCGATGACTAAGGTGGGCCCAGCCCAGTCGTATATTCAATTGCCTCACGCGCCAGCAAAAGCCGGCTGACGAAGCAGGAAGGCCAAAGAAGACGCACTGGACACGTTCACAGTGCGGTGTTGGAGAAGAATTCTGAACAGGCCAAGAGCCTCCAGAAGAATGAACAAACCTTTCTGGGAAGACGTCCAGCCAGGATGTAAGATCGGAAGGTCCCTGGAGAACGAGGTCACCATCACCTTTAATAAAACAGAGGGTCCGTGAAAAAGAGGAAGGCCCCACGCGCGAGCTAGGCTGACACAGTGGGGGGGACAGACCCTTACCTGGACGGCACGGGACCTGGCAGTGACTCATTCCGTTACACCTGGGCCACTTGGCATCAGAGATGACTCAAAATGGTCCCCAACAACAGCAACATACCTCAGCGTCGTCTCCAGTTTGTATTGTGAAAGTACGGCTGGATTTCGACCACACACACACACACACACACACACACATACGTGCGCGCGGATTTAAATCACTCCAGACTGAAATTCACACCGGCACTGAAGTTGGGCGCGTTGTAGTCTCTGAGCCCAGTGTCCTCAGGGCAGCAGGCACTGTGAGGACTGCGTAGGGCACCCCTGTGAAGTGCGGGGTCCGGCTAGTGTAAATGCTCAACTCGCTTCTGCAGCCCAGGGAAAAGCCACCCAAACACGCCCCCCTGGGACTCATGCTCATCTGAGGTGAAGGACGTGTGTATTTCCCACTTCTAATCTGTGCTTTTCTTAGCTTCCCCCAGTGAGCAAGTCCTGCATGTATCGACAGTGAAAAGCATCATAGTTGAACCTTACCTGCGGGGGTCCCTCTAGTACCAGGACTGGCTAACGTTTGAGATGGAAGGGCCAACCCTGTCCCTCACAACAATTTAAAAATTGTTCAAGAGCCATGCATCTATTTTTACAAACAAATGAAATCGCCATCACTCGAGTAGTCATTTTATTTTCACTCCTTTCAGCTCAGAGCCATGCACACACCCCGAAAGAGCCGAGGTGGCTCTCGAGCCGCAGCCAGCCGCCCTTGGCTCCAGTGTGAGAAACCCCGCAGGGCCAGCAGACCCCATGTGTGGCTTTGGGCAAGGTGTCCCACCTCTGGGGACCAGTCTCCTTGCTTCCACAGTGGGAGCTTCCTGCCCTGCACGGGCCAGGTCTTATGGGGGCACCTGAGGAGATGCGGGTGCCGTGGCACACAGACAGGGTGTTATTGAATTGGTTTGCTAGGGGCTTTCCTGCTCCGGGCTGGGGTCTCCAGCTTTCCCCATTGACAGCGAGCCCAGGTGCAGGATGAGGGAGGGTGGGGGGGCAACTCAGCTGCTTTTCCTCCCCCTGATGAAATTGCCTTGAGCCGGCAATAAGAGGCGCCTGCCTCGAGGCCAGACTCTCAGTCAGGAAGCTGCGTGAAAGGCAACCGTTTGTTCTACCGGCTCCGGTGGTCTGCGGGTTCAGACCCACAGATTGGGATCCACTCCCTTATATTTACATGTATGTGTGTTCTCTCTCTCTCTCTCTCTCTCTCTCTCTCTCTCTCTCTCACACACACACACACACACACACACACACACACACACGCACACACGCACACACGCTCAGGGAATAGAGAGAGAAAAACCTCCCTTTGACATGCACACTTGTACATACACATCTTGAACTTTCTGCTGCACCCGTTAGCTCCCGGAAGAGCTAGACCAGATTAGCCACCTAGGGGGTGTCTGTCGGAGCCCTGTGGGGCTGGACAAGCCCTTATTTGGAAGGCCTTTCCGATGATTGAAGACTCCCTCGAGGTTTCTGCGCGCCCCACTCCCGTTTCAATGGCTTCTCTTTCGGAAGAAGATAGGGGGCCACTATATTCTTTGGGCAGTCTGCTAGAGGGCATTCGCTTTTGCACATGAGGAAACTGAGGCTTCCCCAGGGACCAGAGCCTGGACTCCACTCCATGCGGTGCTCCTGTGCTTCCCCCGAGTCCCCTCCCAGCTCTGCCCAGCGGGAAGGCTGACTTTCCAGCCAAGCAGCACTTACCCCGAGTCCTAGTTACCTAGTGCTGCTGGAAAGGACCCTGGTAGTGCAGAGGTTAGGGACTCTGTCGCTAACGCTGCGAGATGGGTGATGTGAACCCACAGAGGCACACGGGGCCCAGTGACCTCTCTAAGGGTGCACGGCGACCTCGGCAGAGAAGGTCTGAACCCCAGGCCTCCTGCACCCAGCAGGTCTTGCTTGTGGCCCACGTCTCCTTCTCTCTCCCTCTGTGTTCAGATGTGTGACCGCGGCCGCGTGGCCTCCAACCTGCGCTACTGCATGATGGTCGGCGGCACCATGGTTCTGGTGGTCGGGACACTCTGCTTCGCTTGGTGGAGTGAAGGGGATGAAGGAGCCCACCCTGGCCAGCTGGCCTCACCCACAGGGCACCCTGAGCCGGAGGCCACCAGCCCCCTGCTGAAGTCCGTCAGCTTCTTCTGCTGTGGGGCAGGAGGCCTGCTGCTGCTCCTTGGCCTGCTGTGGTCGGCCAAGGCCAGCCCTCAGGGGCCGCCCCAGTGGGACCCATACCACCTCTCCAGAGACCTGCACTACCTCACAGTGGACACCTGGGAGGAGAGCTGCAGGTCAGCAGGGCCAGGGGGTGGGAGTGGGAGGTGCCGTCACCACACTCCCCCTTTGGACCAGGACTTGCCCTGTGTCCTAGCGACAAGGAGATGGCTTAGCACGGTCTCAGAGGAGTTTGAATCCCCCAGGCAGAAGTGTGACAGATCCGTCAGGGCTGTGAGAGGGGCGGGGGGGCGGGGGGGGCATGCACCTATGGAAGCACGGAGAAACCCAGGAAGGCTTCCTGGAGGAGGTGACATCAGAGCCTAGTACGGCATGAGGCAAGCAGTGTAGGGGTTAAGATCCACTGGCATCCTTTCCTGATTCTACTGTGAACTGACTGTGGGACTGCAACCCCGCTAGGCCCCAGCTTCCTCCCCTGAAAGAAAACAACACAACAGCAAATACTTGTGTCGTACTCGCCCCTCGCCAGGCACTGTGGAAGTGCTTTTCTTCTGTGAACTTGTCCATTTCCTCCTCGCAGCAGCCTCAGAAATGGTGTTCTTGTCAGCTGCATTGACAGTGGAGGCCGTGGAGGCACCCAAGGCTTAAGTAACTTGCCCCCTGGACACCCTGAGTGTGTCGTCAGAGACCAGGCTTGAACCCTGGCAATCTGCCCCCAGAATCTGTGCCCCAACGGGGCTTTCAGAAAGTCCGTGGGCAAATGGAATGGAAAGCAAGGTTGACCCCTGCTTTCGTTCTGGGTCAACCAAGTTTCTATGCACTGACCTGGGACCCAGGCATCCTTCTTCCCTTGGTTAGAGGGGAAGTCCTGATTGTTCACCCTGCTGGTCTGGGCAGGCAGAGACGGCATACACAATGGGCAAACAGGCCTCAGTTGATGTGAGCCCGCAGGGACTCTCTGGCCACTCACGGACTCATTTCTCTGATGAGAACCCTGGGAGCTGACCCAGACCAACTCAGACTGCCCTGAGGCCCATGGGCGTCAACTCCACTGTTCCTGGTCTCAGGCACCTCCCCCTCTGGGCGTGCCTGGTTGTGGGTAAATGTAAGCCACCAGGTCCTTTCCCATCTCAAGGCCTCAGTTTCCCCATTTTGTTGTTGAGTTGCTATCAAGTCGATTCTGACTCACAACGACTCTGGGGAGCAGAGCGGAATGTCCCCATCGGGTTTTCCTGGCTGTGCTCTTTACAGATGGGGGTCACCAGGCCTTTCCCCTGCAGAGCTTCTGGGTGGGTTTGAACAGCCAACCTATTGGTCAGCAACTGAGCCCTTCACTGTTTGTACCTCCAGGGCCCTTTCTTTCCCCCAGCAGATCACTAATTTATTTATTCGATCACACATCAAACCGGCATTTATTGAGCAGCTACTGTGCTCCAGGTCTCATTCAAAGCTCTGGTGAGGCTGCAGTGGACAAAGCCAACCCCTGCCCTGGGGGAGCTGCCCTGGGAAGCAGAGGCCCTAAATGAGGTGGGTGGAGACCTCGCTACTGGGGTCCCACCCCCAATAGGTACAGCAGAAACAATCGTGGACTAGTGCACAAGAGGATGCCCTCTCTTTACGCCCCGCGTGACCCTCGGAGCCACATCTGTGTCTTCCTCGTCATCTGAGAATGCCCGCACCTGTTCCCCGGACTGCAGCTAAACTCACGTGAGACAGGCGCTGGATGAAGGAGAGCCATGTGCCCTTCCCACCTGCCCCTTACTGCTTTGCCGCTGCTAAGGACTCCTGTGCTCACAAGTGGATACGGACCTTTCTGCCTGTGAGGTTAGGGTAAAGGATGAGGCCCACCTTAGAGACAAGACGACTGGTGGGTGGCTGGAGGAGAGATGTTAGACTGGAGAGTTTGGCTCTTGGGCTTCTGGTAACGCCTGCCCTGCCCTGATGGTCCGGCCCAGCTGATGGATGGTGGCACACTGGGCCTGGCTCTCTTGACCCTGGCTTGGCGGAGTGTTCTGTGCATGGACCTGGGTCAAAACACGCCAGAATGGAGGCTCTGTAGGGATGTGTGTGCGGCGGCCCTGGAGGGGACTTTGTGTTCTGGGTCAGCACCAAGGAGACTTGGGGTTGGGGGGTCCCTGCTGGCACATGGGTGAGGGCTACCCCACATCTATCTGCTGAGCATGCTTTCTGCTGTGTCTGAGCTCACCTGGCACCTGCCCCCCCCACCCCCAGCTGTCACATGCTGGGGTATCGTGGCATGAGCAAAGCCTCTTCTGTCTCTCTGGCTTAGAGCAGCCGGGGAGGGGCAGGGTCACAGGTGGAGGGAAGCAGGGAAGAGAAAGAGGGCTCCCCTCGTTCCGTGTTTCTCTGGTGTTTTCCAAGCTTCTGAAATGGTGTGAGCACAACACAGGCCACCCAGCAATGGAGCCCACCTGGCCTGCCTCCTCCTCCCTTCACCTGCAAAGGATGCTGGGAGCTCCGAGGAGGGCGAGGATCCTTCCTGGCTTCCTCAACTGCGGGCATCCAGGACTGCTTTCCAGAGACAGAGGCTCTGGAGGAGAAGTTTGCCTGAGCACTGGCAGGGAGGCAGGTCAAGCACCTAGCCAGTGCTCTGCCTCATGTATTCAGGCTGGGGCTCAAATCCAGGATCTCCGCCCCTGCTCTGTGACCCTCGTCAGTGTGGGACGCAGCCAGCCTGCCTCCCCAGAGAACCACTCTGGGGGCTTTGGGGGACTTTGGCTGAGAAGTCACATTGCCCAGTGAGGGACCAAGATGCCAATGGGCGATGGGCAGCAGCAGAGAGGGCAGCAGCAGGTTCCCAGCATGCCCCCTCTGTCGTGGCACCTGGAGCTAAGCCCCATCCGAGCCTTTCTCCTGCCCCTTGCTGTTCTGAGACAGAAGTGGCTGACTTGAGACCCAGTAAGCTTGCCATCCCCGGAGGTATGCCAGCAGAGGCAGTCACTTGGCAGAGTGATCCCATTAGGACCTCAAGCACCCAGGTGGGCAGGAGAACTGGTGGTCTCCCATTCCGCTCACAGGGTCCCCGACTCAAGGTATGTAAGGAATATTACAATACTCTGAGAGTCTTGCTGTCCATGGATATCCGTCTTTCAACAAACATTCCTGAATACCTGCCCTCAGCTCTGGACACTCAGAAGCAGCCCTGGCCCTAGGGGATAGCCGGTCAGTGTAGTCACAGGGCCAGCGCAGAGAGCGGGAGACTTGCTGGGGGTGAGGTCGTCAGGAAAGCTACCCAGAGGAAGAATCAGTGAGGCTGACTAGCAGGGAAGTGGGGAGAGGTCCCACAGAGAAGGAATTTCTTGCGGGGACAAGAAGGTGGGTGGAGGTGTGGGGAACACACAGGTAATTGCTATAGGTGGGGAGGGGAGAGTAGGGAGGGCAGAGGTTGGCAGGGGCCAGCTCAGGTAAAAACTTCAACAATGTAGAAGGGGGCTTCCAACAGCTTATGGAACATGTCTGTATCTTGTAATTCCATTTCCCCAGAAATGTTTTGAAGTCCCTCTTATGTGGGTTTGAACCAGGGCACGCGTCTCCCCCTGCCCCCTGGCTAACAGCTCACAGTCTCTCTTCTCCTGGCCCCGTAGGACACCCAAGATGACTACCATCCCCACTTATGAGGAGGCTATGGCTGAGGCAGCCCCGACGCCACCTGCGTACCCCACAGACGAAGACCTGAAGTACAGTGCCCCCGGGGATGCCCTACTTGGTACCCAGCCCCCCTGGCCTCCGCCCAGCTACGAGAGCACCGTCCTTGCCCGGGACGCCATCCCTGCAGAGAATGCCCGGGGCTGAGTCCTCCCACCCAGGCCTGCTCCATCGGACTGCCGGGAGGAAGTTAACAGCCCTGATCCAGAGAACAGAAAGGCAGGAGCCTCTCCTAGGGGCGAGTTCCGTGCCTAGAACATAGCAAACACTCCATAAATGCCGGTGGGACAAATGCTGTGCTATTTTTCTATTAACATGTAACAAACCACCCCAAAACTGAGCGGCCTAAAATAACTCCCATCTCATGCTTCTATGGGCTGCCTGGGCTCAGCTGGGTGGTTCTTCTGCCTCCCGCGATGCCTGGTGGCTGCAGTCAGCAGGGTGCTCGATGTCCAGGATGGCACACTCCGATGGCTGGCAGTCAGTGCTGTGAGTCGGGAGGCTGTTGGGGTAAATAAAAAACAAACACCAAACCTTTTGCCACTGAGTGGATGGGGATTCAGAGGGACCCTAGAGGGCAGTTTTATTGGGAGTTCTTAAGTCTGTTTTTGAAGATTTAAAAGCAGACTGTAAGAACTCCCAATAAAATATCTTTTAAAAAAAGACTTACAACCTTGACAACCCATAAAGGCTGTTCTGCATTGTCTTTCAGGGTCACCATGCATAGGAATCACCTTAATGACATGTGAGTGTGTAGGTATTCATGAATCAGATAGAGGGTTATTTGCAGCGTGGAAGCTGGTAACTACTCAGTATTGAACCATTTATATGACTCCTGATTTAGTTTTAGGTTTGGACCTAACATGTGATATGTAATGTGATAGTAGCTCTTTACATGTGTACATCACAATATGGGTCACTGTTAGACACATATTTAGTAATAATTAAGAAAAAGCTCAACCATTAAAAAAAAAAAAAAAAGCTGAATACTACCGCTTTCTCCCTGAGGTTCGCACCGCTGACCTTTCTCTTAGCGGCTGAGCATTCAACTATTGTGTCACTAGGGCCCCCTTTTGTTCCAGACGCGAAATCGAAGGCCAGAGTTGGAGACAATGACTCACCAGCAGCTAGTTTGGGGCAGTTCTCTGCCCTTGCCTTGCCGTGTGACCCAGGGGTAGTGGCCCTCTTTCCAACCCTCACCCCACTTAGTTTCCTCTCTATACCATTGGGGAAGGGACTTTATCAGTCCTCCACCATTCCTAAAGCATTCATGGTGTCCCGAGCCTGCCCGCCTGCCCCCAAAGGAGGAATTCCCCAGGAGGCCCACGAGTTAATGTGTAGCAGCTGTGGCCAAGAGGTACACCCTTCACCAGGCTGGAGCTGAACGGGGCAGGCTGGAAGGCTGGGAGCCTTTCTGTCCACATCAGCTCCCCTGGGTCCTAGTGGAAATCCCCCATCTCCCCCTCCTCCCCTCCCCCTGCCTCCCCCAATGGGAGTCACCGTTTCTGTCTTTCCCAGATGAGGAAAGTGGGCCGGGGAGGAGTCTTGCTCAATGCCACCAGTGCCTCAAAGGCAGGACCAGGAGCACAGAGCCCAGGCCCACTGGCTGGCACGGGAGCCACACAAGGGCAGGCCGCAGCCCAGGAGGCCTGGGAAGCACTGGTTTGTGTTCCATGTTTTCTTCCAGGTCTGGTTTCCACGTAGACCCCTGCCAGGTGCTGCGGCCTGGGCTTTGGGTACTAGATGCCCTGGGGGCTCGGCCCCTTCCCCACACTCTTAGGGCACCCTCCTGGGAACTCCCTTTGCCCCTCAGTGCTCCTGAACGCATCCAGCCCACGTCTCCCCTGCACCCAACTATTCCTGAATCACGGCTGGCCTTCGTATTCCTCTGTCCAGGCTGGAGCCCAGCCACCTC